GCCTCGGCCTCCCAGAGTGCTAGGATTATAGGCGTGAGCCACTGCGCCCGGCCTTATTTTACTTTTTAAACAACCGGCAACGCAGTAGGTTTGTTTGCACCAGTATCACCACAACATGTGAGTAACTCATTGCACTGGGATGTTACAATGGCTACAATGTCAAATGGTGATAGGAATTTTTCAGTCCCATTGTCATCTTTTTTTAAATCTCTGTTGTATATATGGTCTGCAGTTGACCAAAACATCATTATTTGGCACATGACAGTATAAAGTTTTCACTCCTGAAAGTGTTACTTGGTTTTATTTCAAGATACATTAGATACCTACATTAGGAATAGAATATTTTAAATAAAGGTGTGTGTGTGTGTATGTGTGTGTGTGTGTGTGCACACGCACATGTGTTGGGGTTGGGTGTTCATTTATCTATGTCATCCTATTACAATCTAAAATTCATGTAAGAGATCACATTAACACATAAACACTTTATTAGTTCAGTCTAGTATCTGAACTGGCTGAAGCCATGACATGATATAATTGTATGATGTACGATGTACATTCTACTTCTCTGGGCCTCAGTTTTCTCAACTGAAAAAGGAGAGATGTGCCCAAGGTTCCTTTGGGCAGTGTGTGTGACTGACTCATTCACCAGGGCAGGCTTGGCCTTACTAAGGTCACAAAGATCAATCTATTCTCTTAACAGGGCTGGTTTCCATGAAATATGAAAGAGGAACAACCTGACGATGCATTAATTGAAGCTATTTTTCTAAAACAAACCAGTTGCAAAACTTTACTTCTACCACTACCAAGAGAGTCATTTTCCCAGTAAATGCGTTGACTGCAGTGTGATACTAATGTAGAAACATATCTGGTTGCCTCAGTTAGTATCAGCCAAGATACCACTGTCAAAGCTGTAAATTTATAGTGAATATTCCTTTTTAATATCCATAGATATGACTTCATTTCCTGGCTTAATAGATAATTCCTTGAAGGACTTATACTGATTTATAAATATACAAAAATTTTTATTTAGACCTGATGGGCGATTTCTTTTTCTCTTTTTAAGTAGTTAGTGGGGAGGGATACGGGCTAAGGAAACCTTTAAGACATCATCCCGGGAGTGTGGCACATGAAAACACATCTCTCTTCCTGCCACTATCAGGCCCTTGTCTGGCTCAAAAGATTCGGTGCCTTTCTAACTGCACCAACTTGAAAAAAAGGAACTTTTGCAGTTGGTGACAAGAAAACAAAGGAAATAAAATCTGCGATGCAAGGAATGTATTTGTGGGAGAAACAGGTAGGTAGAAATAGCAGTCTTTGCGCACAAGATTGCTGAAGGAGCCAACCCCGCCCCATTCCTAAGGTTTGATACTTCAGACAAAGGGCAGAGGGCATTTTCACTCCTATTATCTTTCCCTACAGCAAACATTGTGCTTTTATGCACGTTGCACAATGAAAGGCAAGGTGACCTCCAGTACAGAGCACCTGCCTGAGGAAAAGTACGCCAAGGCCAGGACATGTATTCTGAAGTATAAATATACAATGGATCCACTCAGCCTGACTGCAAATTACTACAAGGTGATAAGCTCTCCAAATCTAAGTACTGTAAGCCTCATCTGGCTCCATATATACAAAATATGCCAACATCCTACTAGAAACAACCAATTTGCCAATACATCAAACTCATTCCTCTTCTTCCCAACTCTTAATGTCTCTCCTATGTCTCCTGTTTGGTTATGGCTTCTCTTATTCTACTCAGGATCCAGGAGAACTGTCTGTTGTTTCACTTAAAGCAGAAGTATCAGAAACTACATATTTGGGGATGAAGTGGTAAAGGTAGGGGTGGGCTTAGTGAACTAAGAACCAAACTCTTCCACCAGCTGAGGGACTTTAAGGGGACAGATAAGTTGTTCAGCCACATAAACAACAATAAAAACAAACCCCTAAAGCCTGTCCATTCTATTCCCAATGTATTGGTGAGGATTAAGTGAGAATTCATGTGAACAAAGGTAAAGTTTTGTTAGTCGCAGCAGTAACAATATTATTTATGGTACGTAGAAATGGTAAAGAGAAACTGTTTCATGGTAATGAAAACAAACTGTGGGCAGTTTTGCAACAAGATTAGGAAAGACCTGAGAGTTAAATAGAGAAATTAGGGTTTATTCAGTGGACAATGGAAAGAAACTGAACATTTTTAAAGATGGTGTCATACAGTGAATACTTTTTACTAAAAGCAGTACGAGGGCAATAAGACACACGAAAGGAGCTGGGGTGTGGAGTGGAGGCTTGCTAGGAAGCTAGTGCAATAATCTGTGCATGTTGATGAGAAGGCCTAGAAACAACGTAAGTAAGAACAGCAATGAAAAGGAACCAAACAAAAGCTGTTTCTTTCCCTGAAAAAATAAAAAAGGTATATTTTCTCAGCATTATAAAATTTTTAAAGGAAACAAAAAGTAATACTTTACTGACGTTTTTTTCCTTTTCTGAAATTAATTTTTTTTTTTTTTTTTAGAGACAGGGTCTTGTTATATTGCTCAGGCTGGCCTTGAATTTCTGGCCTCATGTGATCATTCTGCCTCAGTCTCCTGAGTAGCTGGGACTACAGGTACACACCACCATGCCTGGCAATTTTTTTTCTAATTATAAATATTCAAATAAGAAAATTCTGCAAATACAGAATAGTAGAGAGAAAATGAAAAGCCACCTGTTACTACTGTTCACAGCTTGACTGATTTCCCCCCATTCTCATAAAAGATGTTTCAAAGAGCTTGGAGACTGCCTAGCCAGCCAGGAGACATTCAATAAAAATGCAAGGATGGATTGAGTTCAAGGTTTTCACGCTGAGAGTGTTGCAATTACAGAGACAGGTAAGTAACCTGAGATACCCCTGAAGAAGGGGGAAGTATACAGTAAAACGATGCAACAAGCAGAGGTGGAGTAGACTGGTCTCCTGATGAGGGGGCAGCACCAGAGAAAGCAGAGCTTCTGTTCAGCAGCCCCTTAGCCTGACAACCAAATCCAAGAGGGCCAGAGGCTGCAGTGAGGGTGGTAGTAGCTGCCTGATGAGTCAGTACCGGGGGGCATCAGGACTCAAAGCCTCCAGCCAGCCCTGAATACAGTCCAGTGTACTCTGCAGCAAGGACCATCACTGAATAAAGAGGCCCATCAACAATTGTGTTCTGACTCTTACCCTCAAGCCAAGTCACAATACACACACATACGTGTTTATATATGTATATATCAACATGTGTGTGTGTTTCACAACTGGAATTCAAAAAGTCATTGGAACTTGACTAAAGGGAAAACAATGGGAAAAAACTGATGTCACTGCAAGTTGTTTTATAATTGGATTTAAAAAAAAAATGAATCTAGATTACTTGTGGACATTAATATTCATTGTATAAAAGTTACTTGTGTTTATACTCTGGAGTAGAAATATTAATATAGCAATGTGTAAAAAAATCTAGATAGCGACAGTCTACTCAAATTTGGGACAATTTGGGTATATGATGAAAATACATTTATTTCTCCACATCTATTTTATATTTATAGCTAATTTGCCATAATTTTGGCAAAATAATCCAAATAGCATATATTGTTCCACATAAGTAGGTCTATCATATGTGCATTCAATTTGTCCAATTAACTATTAAATAAATACTCAAACTGCTTTAAACATATATTAAATGTAAATATTCACAGCATTCTGCCCAGGAAAACTTTTATAGTTTCACCCTAGTCTGTGACCAAAGACTTCAGATCTAGCCCAGTTAACTCTACAGCTAGCTCCATTTTGTAAATCTCAGCCATTGTTAATGGGATTAGAATGGATTGGGAAACACTATACAAAAAAATAGCTGTTAGCATTTGGAATAAAAAAAACCATAAAAACACTACGAATAATGTGTTACTGCAAATACCTTACTTCCTCAGTGCTGGTGGCATTACAATTGAAATAACTTTTGAAGAAAAGTCATCTGGTAATATGTATCAAAAGGCACAACAATGTTTATATTCTTCTGTCTAGCAACCACACTCCTGAGTATTTATCCTAAGGAAAAAACTTCAAAGAAAAAAGCTAATGCATGAAGATGTTCACTGTAGCATTACCTACCTCATCAAAAATAGAAACCATCTAAATGTCTATGAGTGGAGCACTCAGGCATTTGGGAAGAAAAGGGTGTTTCTGGGGCATTGATTGTAGTGTGGCAAAGGTAGGACAGAGAAAAAGCAACGGGACAAGATAAGAAAGAGAATGGACAAGCATGGCAGAGTATGCTCCACTAGTGACGGACATTAGCAGAGAGTACGAACCTCTGATCTTACCATAACACTATGGGGAACACCACAGGGGCCTTGGAATAATAGGGGAATGTCAGAGCTACAAAGGACATTTTTTGAAAAAATATGACAGCTGTGCTAATGATTTACCAACAGCCATTGAAAAGGAAGCTATAATGATAGAATTAGGGGGAAAACTAAGAGACTAACCTACAAAACCTACAAAGGTCATTTTTTTTTCTTAAAAAGGATTTCTGTGGCTGGAGATTTATTTCCTCCCTCACTGAACCACTGCAGACTCCCTTCTCTCCCAGCACCTTAATAACCAGGGGGTCCCTGCTGCAGATGGAGATTTCTTTTTCATCATCCTCTGCACTGTCTTCTCTCCCAAAAGCCAGAGTCCCAGAAGCTGCTTCTTACAGAGATTCCAAATATCCCAAATCCCATACCTACTGCCTACAAAAGAGCTAATATGAGAAAGTGATGTTCTGTGGGTTTTATTTTTTATTCAGTTCTAAAATACAAAAGAATAAAAATGTTACTTAGAAGGTGAATAACTTACAAATTGGAAGCAGCTCCTGACGCTCGGCTCAATGTTACTGCCCCCAAAGGATGCAACTTCACCCAACTGTCTTGGGATTTGAATAGAATCATGCAGAAGAAGGCCCAGCCTGCGCTGGTCACAAAATCCTGTTGAACTTGCCACTTGCTTGAAAAGGTCTACAAAAGGAAGAAGAAAATTGCAACAATCAAAAACAAAACACTAAGAAGAGGCTAGCAGAACCTAACGTCTGACTCAACACCAGTCTAATTCTCAAGAGTTCCCAGTGTTTCCACAGAGAGAGGTTACTTCTGATTTGTGCTAATCTGTATATTTATTATTTTTATGAACAAAGTTAATCACCACTGTGTATATATGAAATGTGACAACTTTTACATAAACTACAGCCCTGCAAGAAATGCAAATTTACATGTACCCTTGACACCTGAATTTTTCCTACACCAGAACATAATCCTTGGGAAATATTATGTATATATAGGATGTAACCACTGTCATAAAATAAATGTTTTAGCATTAAGAGACATATAGCTGGCCCAAAGCATCATCCCCTTTGTTCATCAGAGATTCAAGAATACACCACAATTTGGACTTCTTTATGGAGTCACAAGATCATTGAGCTTCTAGTCCATCATGTATGTGTTCCCACAGGATTGTGTGCATGTTGAAATTAGCTCACATCGTGTTACACTGTCACTAATTTAATATGTATCTGTCTTTTTGGCAGGAGAGTGATATCCCCTTGAGGGCAGGGAACATATCTTGGTCAACTGTGGGCCAGAAGCATCTAGAGTGGCTGACAGAATGAATGAACATATCCAATGATTGCAATGCACATTTTGTTCTCAGAAATAAAATCATTTTAATCATACTTTATATTCACCTAGAAGTCACCATAAACAAGTAAATCCAAAAAAGCTTTTTGTAGCCATAAGCACACTTTAAACTCTAGGAAATCAAATATTTTAACTAGATGTCTAAGATGGCACTCATGAAATTGAGATCCCATGCGCAGCTTTTCACCATCCCTCTGATACTCACATAGATGTTTATTTTCAAAGTTATGAATTATTTTCAAACATCTCACTTTGAAGTTAGTTATTTTTGTTTCACCAACCAAAAAACATTTTCCCTCTTAGCAGCTATTTGAAACACAGGCTCAAAGTTCCCTCGATGATTCAATTTAGTATTTACAATGTGCTAGTACTATGCTATTGATAAGATTAGATTAAAAACTAAGCTATAATAAGTAACTACAATATTTAAAGGAGGAAAGCACACAGAAATATCCTGTCTTATCCAAAATACATTTTAAAATAATTAACAAAAGCTGTTCAGTTATTTTTCTTTGGTTCTTAGGATGAGAAAACTCCAGTGGAAACTACATAAAAGTGAGAGCTAAAACGGCTTGTATATTTTGTGGCTTACTCCTGGAGGAGAATTGAACAGGAGGACACAGAGTAGCTTTGGAGGAATTCAGTCTCTTTTGTCTCCTGCCTGTCCTTAAGCTCAGCACACACATCTCCTCACATGTATGGCTAGGCCTTAGGGGAAAAGAGATGAGACAAAACAGGCTAGGTTTGTTTAACATTCCTGCTGAAAAAATTTCTTACAAGCATTTCAAGGGGAAAACCAAGTACAGTCCTTCATAATGGGAACAAATGGTCACTTGGTCATCTAAACCATCACTCCTCTAGTGTTTGCTTTTAATTTGGATTTACAATTTTTAAGCAGAAGAACTCAATGGCTAATCAAAAAGAAATTCTATAGGTTGGTGTGTATTTGCCCTCTAAGAAATAGCAAGCTATCCATCTCTCAAATAATAAAATGTTAGTCACATCATGGAATTGGATGTGTCAGTACAACTTGCAGTAAGATGATTATAAAATAAACAATGTTTCTTGAACACGAATGCCAGATAGTATTCTTTAAATAAGAATCCAAAGACTAGGCAAGTGCAGGGATTAAACCTTCACATTTATTTTTCTGACTTACAGAAAGGGGTTAGGAAATCAGGCTTTATCCCCTAGGAACATGTGTTTTATTCAGACATAGTCAATGTAACGTAAAATAATACTCGGACTGGAGAAGTTAATCTTCATTTTCTATTTAAATACCTGAAATTTAATGTTTGACAGGAAATGGCACAAACCAAATTTTATGACACTCTAAAAGCAACTCTACATCTTACATGAGGAACCTGCTGTCAAATAAGAGCAGTATGTCATTTCCCATCTAGAACTGGAGTAATTAGCCAACATTAATAAAAGAATACAGAGTTAGTATACATGACTTACATCTGTACTTATCTTCCAAATGTGCTTTACACAGAGAAATGATGCCAGTTTTAAAAGATAGGACACGGATCCTTCCTGTTCGTCCCCTATTAGGAAGAATCAAACCAGAAAACAATTACTGACACTTTTCCTAGAAAATAAACACTTCTAGTTAAGAATAAAGTCCTGAAAAGAAAAAAAAAAAGAATAAAGCCTTGGATATGGGAACTCTATGGACCATTGTTTTATTAATGTTAAGAACCTAGGCCGGGCTCAGTGGCTCACACCTGTAATCCTAGCACTTTGGGAGGCTGAGGTGGGAGGATCGCTTAAGCCCAGGAGTTTGAGACCAGCCTGAGCAAGAGCGAGACCCTGTCTCTACAAAAAAATAGAAAAATTAGCCAAGCATGGTGGTGTGCTTCTGTAGTCCCAGCTACTTGGGAGGCTAAGGTGGGAGAATCACTTGAGCCCAGGAGTTTGAGGTTACAGTGAGCTATGATGATGCCACTGCACTCTAGCCTGGGGTGACAGAGGGAGATTCTGTCTCAAAAAAATAAAAATAAATAAATAAATAAAAAGAAAAGAACCTAGAACGCAACAAAAATTTGACCAACTCGACCAATGAAGGTTTACCAAGTTTTCAATTCTTAAAAGCCCTTAGTTGAATTGTGAGAGTAACTCTATATAAAACAGGAGAAACATATCCTTCTATTTCCCTATGGAGAGCCACCTTGATTTAAGTCAGTAAGTAGAAGAATTACTACTATGCACTAAGCTATTTTGGTTACTGAAGCAAATTACCTGCTTTAGTTACTGAAGCCAAAAAAATAGTAACTAACCGTTCTGCTCTCTTTCAGATTTTCATCATATTGCCCCTTACTGAGAAGAAAATTAATCTCTTCAGGCCACATGACACATAATATAAAATATAAACTTTTATCTCCCTAAGAAAAATATGACACAGTCTATTAGAGAACATTCAAATGTATGCTCTAAAGAGAGAGAAATTTTTAAGTATTGCTATATCAATGTTTTAATATAGATACACTTTCACTCTACATATAGAAAGATGAAATAAAGCATTTCATATAACAAAGTTATTAACAAGCTTATTTTATCCATGGGAAAAAATAAAAAATAAAAATGAAAAGTTTTCCATTTTGTAGAAAATGTCTTTCAATAATTTTTCAGCTTCTTATATCATTACAGAAAGCAACTGGATATTGGTTTAAAAAAAGATTTTAGAATAATTCTTCCATCTAGTACTTCCAAATCACAAAGGATAGGTCCCAATCATGGTTGTTTTTGGTAAACAACAGGCTCAACTTTCAACTAGGATTAATGCAATTTATTAAATTCCCTCAGTCAAAGAGGAATCCTGGACCCTTAATGCATTAACAAAACTCTTATCATTGGAAGATTTTTTTATCTTTTTCCATCTCAAGAAAAGTCATATAAAAGTTTAACAAATGAACTTTATATAGTAACTCAGGTCTTCAAGGAGTTACTATTATCCCCACATAATTTTTAAGTGGGTAGAATGGAAGTTATATATTCAGAATCCATTCACATATCATCTGCAAGGAAAATAGCCAAAATATATTTGAGGGGAAATGTGAATACAAACCCCTATCAAAACAAATGTAAATATAATTCACAATTAAAATCTAACATGTTTAAGGATTTGGTAGATAATTATCACAAATTCAATAACCTGGTGATCCTGAAATTTAAAAAGCAATACCTTCTCGAAATAAAGAAAAAAAGGTATAAATTTTAATGAAGAAGATGGTAGAAGTCTACAACAAAGGCAGAAGGCGAAATAGTTGATATACGACTCCTTTCAGACAACCTTCCCAGATTTCCAAATGAGAATATGTTCTTGATGGGTGTGAAATGAGGCATGTAATAATTTTGAGGTATAAGAAGAATTCAGTCAAAATCAAGACCAATTCTTTCTGCTCCCTTCCTCAATTGTCTTCATTAAGCTCAACATAAAAATTAGAACTGGGGATATCTCTTATGTGCAATCCAAAAGAAATAAACAATTGCTCTGTAAGAGAGTGATGAATGGAGGTGCCAAACTGAAACTTCATAAAACCTTATTAAAAACCAAACCAAACCAAACCAAAAAAGCTTCCTCAGTTTAAGGAGCTGAGTTTGCTGCATTAAGGGCTTGTTTTCTTTTTTTTTGGTTTATCAATTCATAATTTTTTTGTAAAATTCTCCTAAGTATCAGCTAAGCAATTCTCATCGGGTGACAGGTGTGCCAGCATCTCTAGAAACGCATCCATTCCTGCCAGTGAGAGGGAGCAACTCCTGAAGTGCATGGAGAAATTCCAAAATACATGGGCGAGAAAGGGAAAAAGAACCAATGGCAACATGGTGACTCATTCTACTATTTGAAAAATGAGTGTCTCAAGGTTTTGTTTGTTTTCTAATCTGAGAGCAATCTATTTTCTGGCTCTTACATTTTAGCTTATCAAAATATTTTTCAAGTCATATAAATGCAGAAATGATTTGTCACAGGGATAGCATTAGGTCCACAGCTTCTGAGGCCCTGTTGTAATGCTAATTACTCTGTCACCATTCTGTAAGCTAAATCTCCTGTGACAAAGCCCGGAAAAAAACTTGCCATACATACGTATCATAAACATTCAGCAGCCAGTTGAGACACATATCCACGCAGAGAGGGACGTTGACCAAATTGTTGTGCTCTTGCTCTAGGCGATCATAAACAGTGGTCAAACAATTAATGATCTGCAGGATATCCATGGGCTGGTCATTTTGCTTGAGGTTGTGCTGGTCCAAGGCATCGCATGCAGCTGACAGGCTCAGGAGATCCACTGCAAAAACCACACAAAATCACAAATGATTTAAAGGGTAAAATTCTTCCTTCACTCTCCTTCCTTTTGCTTTGAGAATCCTGGTTGGGGTTGTCTGGTGCACTCTAGTAAACACCAAACCCAAACCCTCCCCTCTTTTAAAGGTGTTTTGTTTTCATCCCTTAGCTCCAAGTTGATCAGTTTGACCAGCGTTCAGGATCTGAGGCTGTTCTCAACTCTCACTGCCATTGGGTGAAGATGTGAACAAAGAGACAATTCCCACCCCTGAACTACTGGGAAATATTTGAGAGTTAAGGGGACCTATCCTGATCTACATGAACAGAGTCCATTCCACCTGAATAAGAAAAAAAAATGTTTTAGAGATTGTGACAATACTTTCTTGTATTAGTATTAGAGAAGGTCAGTTAGATTAATCTGTATGGTTAGGCTTGTGTAAACTCTATTTCTAGCTATGCATTTATAATCATTAAGCATTTTTCTCCTTGAAATATCGGTCACCTCTGAGTCTCTCTGCTACCTTCACATTAGGTGAAAAAATCATCAACTTCACTAAAATTTGTCTATAGGCAAACTAAAGTAACTGCATACTCTATCCAGTTTTTAGACCTGAGGCTCATTTATTTCTCCTTGCACCTTCAAATTGTATTTTATGGTGTACTTTTCAAGTCCTCTAAGAACTTTATTCATCTGTTTCCTTTGTTAAGAAAAACAAAAAAAAAAGAAAAATTTTATAAGGCTAAGGGAGGAAAATTCCCTTGGTCTGAGGTGGTATTTAATCATATGCTGAAAGACAAAAATTTAACAAAAACGAAACGTCAACCTTGTCCAACATCAGCAAATCCCAAGGTTTATTACCAAGTGTCATGGAAAGATGCTTTTCTATAAAGCCAATTCATTAGCCAAATTAGAAAAGCAACAACATTGCTTTTATACCATCTTTTACACCTAAGCTCTGGTCAGAATTCTCAGTCCTTTGAGACAAGGAATCAATGCTAATTAAATAAATCTCTCACATATCTAGGGGAAAAGGGCAATGCAATTATAAATCCAGCTTCAGATAAATACAGGTCATCCTAGTCGGTAAACAGCTTTCCCAGTAATAAAGAAACACAAATTTAAGGCTTTAGTGTATTTTACTGGTTATTTGTAGCTACTTCTAATTAAATATTAAGATAAAAACAAAAATAGTGGCTAAGACCGATGTAGCACACATTTTTCTCTTTTAAAAAAGGAAAACAGAAAACTCCAGAGTTTCCTTGGAATAATGAAGGAGACCTGGTGGTAGGAATAGAAGGTTTTTTTTTTCTTTGTCTTTCATCCCAGCGAGTAAAGCTCTGTGTTCCCATGTACCAGTTTCCCTAAAATGTCCTGGACTAGCACTTCTCCTATGAAAGGGAAGGCCCCTTTCCTTTTGCTTTGAATTACTCTAAAGATAGAGAAATGATCTCTTTTCATGGAAGCCAAGACTTTGTCTCAAGTGGCAGAAAGGAACATAACCTGGGAGATTGATTTGACAAGGAGTCAGGTGGAAAAAAGAGTGAAAAACAAAAAAATAACAATGCAAGCACCCAGGAGGGCATGAGGAGGGCAAGGCTGAATGGGGACTCCATGGGAGGCTAGAGAGAGGTCCAGGGACAAAAGACTCCAATTTTCATTCTCTCTCTTCTGTGTGCTTCACTTCCTCAGATGGCACATTTTCAAGTGCAGGTAGTGAGAACACTTAGAAACACAGCACACCAGTCCCATTATTGCAAGAGAGGAGGAATGGATTTCTTCCAAAAACCAATATTCCCAACATGTTTCCTTATATATTGAAGGAAGCCACGGGTGATTTGAAGTTTTTTCTATTGTTTTCTTTTTTGTTACTGTGCTTTAATCATTACAAATATTTTGCTTCTGATTCAAGGATATAAGAACTAACAAAGTGAGAATTTTTAGACTCACTTTTGTATTAGGAGTCTAACTTACCCATATGATGGAAACAAACAAAGAGCAAAATTGCATGAATTTCATGTTATTGGGTCTGTTCTTATCTCTGTACAGGTGAATGGGTAACGCATAGAAGACAAAATTTGGAGTATAAATAGCTCCGGAGGGGGGCAAAGCAATTGCTCTGAAATTACAGGAGCAGGAGATGACACAGAAAACAAATACCGTGCAGTGTGCTCTGCTAAAAACGGATGTAGTTAAACACAAGAACAATCCATCGTGGAAGATTGAGGAACACATTTCCCCAAACAAACATATCAAACAGAACTCCACTTTCGTGGAACAATTTTTAAAAGACTTCTATTTAGGTACACACAGCCCATGCTATGGGCCTGAAAAGAGGTGAGAAAATCAATAGGGACAATTTAATTGCCACACAGGCATAACGCTTTTCAAAATGAGCTTCTCAAATACACCAAGATTTTTTGATAAAACATTAAACATAATGATTAGCTATTTCTAGAAGTCTCAATAAGCAACCAGCAAACACAGTTTTGTGAAACTATCCTTCTTCCTCAAGCTAGGAGTTTCCATTTGGAAAAAAAAAAATATATATATATATATATATATTCTTTAGCATATTCACTAGGGGATATATTTTTAAAGCTGTATAAAAGACCAAGTATTCTAATATGCCCTCTCTTTCAAAAATATTTTTACGGTAGAGGATGCTATAGACTTTGAAGCCACTGAAGAATAGGGACCATTTGGTGGTGCCCCTCATGCATGAGGGCTGTGGGGGTGAGAGAGGGTAGGGACAGGAGAAAAATGACTGGCTCTCCAGGATCCTCTTGGATGTACAGAAAAAGCAAACGATGGTGGGGCAGGGAGGACTTAAGCACGAGGATCTCACTAATAGTTCCTGAGGCCTAATCATCCTTTCAACCTTCTAGGTTCAAATGAGAATTATATTCCCTTCTATGTATGTTACAAATGCGGAGCTGAGACAGATTTTATTTTTTCACAGAATAATAGACTTTTAGAGCTAGAAAGCACCTTTATAATCACTTTTCAGTTGGGGAAACTGAAACCAGAGATGTGCTCTGGGTGTTATGGCAGGACACCTAGGTTTCCTGATTTATCACAGAGGTATATATTAAAAGGCGGAAAGGTAGGTGGTAGAAGGTGTCCTCACTGACTTTACAGAAAAGTAGAACCATTCTGTATTCCATACTAATGACAGTAATGGGAGAAAAGAGAAGGACCAAAAAGTTTGTTAGTTGTGAAAAAAAAAGTCCTATGGTACTCATACAACCCTAAGCTCATCCTATGGGTCAACCCGGACATGCTATGTTGATACACAAATAATTCTGTAACCTAATTAGCACAGACAGAGAAAGGAGGGGGTAATGGTGGAAGAACTGCTGTGTGTCTGCTGACTTTTCTTGCTCAGGCAGCAGAAGGTGCTTGTGAGATGAGGAGACTATTGTCGAATTCACACCATTCTACAGACAGCTTACACTTAAGGTTGAAAGACCTTCCAAGCAAATCTGCACAGCAAAAAAGTCAATGTGCATTGATCAATGTGCATCGATGTGCATTGATGTAGTCATTTGTGCAGTGAGGGTTAATTTCAAAGGGTCTGGAGTTAGCATGAGATATTTTGCTAAAATACCTATACAATGCAGAGCCCTGGTCAAAGCAATGAAAAAAAAGTGACAGGTGTTGATGTATAGCCATGGGTTACAGGTTATCACCACTGTTTATTGCTAACAATAACATTGACTATTTTTACCTGGTCTTGGTGAGACACGCAGAGGCCAACTGCGTTTGGGGCTGGCTACATAGGAAGAATATGTCTAGGTTACCAGCAGGATATAAGAAACCTTGGCTGATACTCTAATTTGTGCTCCCTGGTTTCTGTGCTGTTTTGTGTTCACATCAGTGGCTCGATTCAAGAGAGAAAATGCATCTCAGTGTGGTCCTTGCAGAGAGAGGGCAATTAGACCTAGAACCTGGCCTCTCTGGACCCTATGCTGCGACACCAGCCTGTGGCTATGACACATATTCTGGTTTTAATGTTGTTGGTATATTTTATCCTTTTCCTGCAATGAACTTTAGATTTGTAAACACTGTCATTTGGGTCCTGCAAGTCCTCTTTAGCAATTGAACTCTATCTAGCTGTCACCATCATTTCAGTTAGCATCAGTAGTGAGATTGTTTAGAGGACCCCCCAACTCATTATTATCTAAAAACATGACTAAAGCATTATTTAGAAAGAAAAAAGATGATTCTCACAAAAGAGGTGAAAATGAACTGTTGATGCTGGTTGCCGAGCTACCCTTAGCTTAAAGTAGCACAGGCTTTTAAAATGTTTGCCGAAGATACAACTTTCTAAGGGAATCTGGATGTGGTAGAGGTTGAACCCAAAGAGCTAACAAAATGGATTAAAAGGCAATTGCAAACTGATGACAGGGCTGCTAAAAATTCAGTTCTTTGGTTGTGTTAGCAAAAGCTAAAGTAAGTTCAGAAATCTTCAGCTGAGCTTCACCCTCTCTGGCCTGCAGGTGGAGTTCCAACCAAAAATCCTGAGCAACTATCACTTTTGATAAATGGGCTACACCTGTGAGACCAATTACAATTAAAAAGATAATTCAAGTGGGGAACTTATAGACGTTCCCTACTTCACCACAATTTTCTTTTTCGCTGCCAGATCTAGCAGTCCCTTGACTGGGGCTACAATTAGAATCTCAAAGGCTGGTAATATTCCAAAACAAAATACTATGGCTATTAGTTGGAACTAAGTGCAAGAATTCCACAAGGATCAATGAAATGGATTACTCTTTTCCTGTACCTTGCCTAATTGGGGCTGTCGCAAATGTTTTGTTGCCTAGCGGACAGGATAACCCCAGTTCTCTGTACTGATCCAATCCAATCCATTACTATTGGGAATTGACTAAAGGGGAAGCTCCAGCATGTCTTATCTTGCTACCAGCTAAATATGGACTAGTCTGTGGCTTAACCCAAGGGACATACAGATGCCCCTCAATTTATGATAGTCTCAATAAACC